GTGCTTTAAACGATATGAAGATATTTTCCACACAGACTGTGAAAACTGGTCGAAAAAGAAAAGTCAGTCTATTACTAAGAAAGCTAGGTACAGCAGAACATAGCAAATTTGTAGATTTTATTCTACCGAGAAGAACAAATGAATTGGAATTCTTGGAAACAGTGAAATTGCTAAAGGAGTTGTTTGGAGCAAATATGTCGCTTTGGCATAAGCGATGGTTATGCATGAATGTCGCTAAATCCGACGATCAGGATTACTTAACTTATGCATCTATAGTGAATAGACATTGTGACAATTTCAGATTGGCAGAGATTACGGTTGAAGAATTCAAGTGTTTAATTTTTGCTCAAGGTCTGGTATCCAGTAAAAGTGCCGAAATAAGACGTAGAGTTTTGTCTAAACTCGAATCTGAACAAAACCTTACCCTGCAAAAGTTAGCAGAGGAGTGTCAGCGGGCCGTAAGTTTAAAGAAAGAGTCTCAAAAAATTGAAGAAGCTGGTATTGCTTATATTAAAAAAAAGTGAAGAAACAGTCAAATTACCCATCAGAAAAAAAATTGGATTAAAAATTCGCGTATTTTAAAATAGAAAAAAAATTAAATGAAAAGAATGAGGAAGGAAAAAAAAATGGTTCCGCCATTTAATTGTAGACGGTGCAACGAAAAACATTGGGAGGTAAATTGCCCATATAGAAATAAAAAAATGTTTCAAATTGCCACAAGAATGGTCACAAAGGGTCGTGTTGTAAAACAAAAAAAAGTCAATAGCCGAATTAGTCAAACAAATTCAAATATCAAATCAGATAGAGATTTGAGGAAATATGTGACGACTGAAATATTTAAAAGAATATCAAATTTCAACTCGATTCGGGTTCAGATTTAACAATAATGAACTATAAAACATGGAAAATTTTAAAAAGGCCTACAATAATGAAGTCAACGAAACGCTTTAACAGTGACTGGAAAGGAAATTAAATTCGAAGGCGAGGTTGTACTTCCCATGAAATTGAACGGGATAGTTAAAAAATAAAAGTTTTCATTCTGAAAATGGAGAAAACTTGATGGGTACAGATTTTACTGAAACATTCGAATTGTGGGATAAACCGTTAAACTCTTTCTGCAGAAAAGTAGAAAATAATACGAAAACAAGACAGGACATTATTGAGGAATTAAAAAAAAGTTTCCGGAAACTTTCACACTGGTCTTGGAAGATGTAACAAGTTTGAAGCCAAATTCGAATTAAAGGAAAAATACTATGCCAATTTTAAAAAGAAACGTAATGTGCCTTTCGCAAGTGTAGAGAAAATTAACGAAGAACTTGATAGGTTGGAAAAAATGGGAATTATTTCGAAAGTAGAATCTAATTCATGGGCTGCGCCGATTGTGTGCATAAAAAGAAATCAAACCAAGTCAGAGTCTGCGTTGATTTTTTTCGACAGGGTTGAACTCGGTAATTAAGGACTACCATTACCCGTTACCGAGTCCGGAGGAGATTTTTAACAAGCTAAATGGTGGAGTTATATTTTCAAAAATTGACTTATCAGATGCCTATCTCCAAATTCCCGTCGAAGAGGAATGTTCGAAGTTACTAGGGATAAACACGCATAGAGGGTTATTCAAGTACAACAGGCTTCCTTTTGGTATTAAAGTGGCACCTGCCATTTTTCAACAAGCTATGGACGTCATGCTGAATGATTTAGACTTTGCGTGCGCTTACTTAGACGACATCATAGTAAGGAGCGAATCGGTCGACCCGAACATCGAGAGCATCTCAATCAAGTATTTAAAAAAATTCAGGACTTTGGATTTAAAGTCAAAGAGTCAAAGTGCGAATTTGGTTTGGAGGAAATTAAGTATTTAGGGCACATAATCAACAAAAATGCAGATGTCCAGATCCGGAAAGGTCCATTGCGATTAGAGACATGCCGACGCCCACTAATGTGGCGATGCTACAAAAGTTTTCTAGGGCTTGCAAATTATTATCAAGCGTTCATTAAAGGAATGTACAATTTAAGAGCTCCGTTGAATGAACTGCTAAAAAAAGACAAGGCATGGGAATGGACGGTAGAATGTCAGAAAGCATTTGATGAAATAAAGAAAATGCTTACGTCCGACCTCTTTTTAACCCATTACAGTCCAAAACTGGATATTGTAGTGGCAAGTGACGCTAGTTCATACGGGATAGGAGCGTGTATTCAACACATAATGCCAGATGATTCTAGAAAACCAATTGCACACGCTTCGAGAACTTTGCTCCCAGGAGAAAAGAAGTTACTCTCAGATAGAAAAAAGAGGCACTGAGTATCATTTTTGCCATACAAAAAATTTCACAGGTACATCCACGGCAGACATTTTATCCTTGAAACGGATCATAAACCACTGATCACCATTTTTGTTCAAAAGAAAGGGTTACCCGTTTATACAGCAAATCGTCTGTTAAGATGGGGAACCATTCTTCTCAATTATGATTTTCACATAAAGCACCTATCATCCAAAAAGATAATTCATGCGGATAGTCTATCAAGACTAGTACCGAGGCAAGAAGAAAGATTTGAAGAATCAATTATTGCAAATATCAGAGCAGATTATGAGGTGAAAAGCATGGTAAACAACATTGTAAGAGAGCTACCGGTTACGCTAAATGAAATTAAAAAAGAAGCTGAAAGCGATGATTTCATTTAGAAATTAAAAAGCAAAATGGTAGCGAATGACCAAAAAGTGCAGGAGATTTATTCAATAGGTGACAGAGTTTTATTATATGGTGAGAGAGTAGTAATACCAAAAAAGTTGCAGAAAAGAATACTTCGGGACTTTCATATGGGTCACCCGGTATTAATAGAACAAAAAAGCTTAATGCTAAGCTTTGTGTATTGGAAAGGAATGGATGTGGATATCGAAAACATGGTTCATCGATGTAAGGGGTGTGCGTTAGCAGCTAAGGCACCACCTATAGTATACAAACCATGGCCCAAGACGGATCATCCGTGGACAAGATTACACATTGATTTCGCTGGTCCAGTAGAAGATTTTACTACTTAATAGTGGTAGATAGTTTTACAAAATGGCGGGAAGTACTACGCTGTAAAAAGCCTACGTCCAATACCACAACAACTTTTTTGCATGAACTATTTGCACGGTTCGGTGTGCCAGAGTGTATTGTGAGTGACAATGGTACACAATTCACTTCTGAAGAATTTAAGGAATTTTGTGAGTTATATCAAATTAACCACATAACGACGCCTCCGTATCATCCGAGGTCTAATGGACTCGCAGAAAGATTTGTCGATACTTTAAAGCGTGCTCTGAAGAAAGCCTCAGGAGTTCCAACGGAAAAGGCGCTTCAGCAATTCTTACAAGTATACAGAATCACGCCAAACCAGAGAACACATTCAAACATGGCACCAGCTGAACTAATGTTCGCTAGGAAAGTTAAGTCAGTGTTTGACAAGCTTTTGCCAGGAAAAAATACAGTAAAAATACCATGTATACAGCGAGAAAAAGATACACTCCCGGAGAGAAGGTGTTTTTCAAGTGCTATAAAAACAACGTTGATTTCTGGGAACGAGGCATAGTGGACAAGAGAATCGGTGACCTGATTTACATAATTAAAGGGCGAAGAATACTTATAAAAGGCACCAAAACCAACTTAAAAAGATTACGGTATAGAGCAAGAAGAGTGTATACCGGATGAGGACGAAGATCTCATTGATATAATGTATGATATGTTTCAGGTAGAACCTCCACAGAATACACCTGAACCAAGAAGATCCGGTAGGAAACGGAAGTTGACGGACCCATTGAACGTGAATCCAAAACGGAAAAAATATTAAAATTAAGCAAATGGATCTACAAAGAAATAGCCATAATCATCAACCCATATAGGAAGCCAATTTGAAATCCAAAAGGGATTCCAAGGCTTGGGAGGAGGGTGTTGTGTATGATACACCTAATTTACATAAGTGGAGTACCGACCATATAAATATGGGTTGGTACCGGAAGACAACGGAAGATTAAGAGATCGAATCCAGAGACTCTGCCCGACTGCGACTTAGTCAACCCATTCTGCAGGAACAGTCTTCCCAAGAATATACCAAAACTACCTGTAAATATTGTGTACCTTTTTTCATTGTTTCAATACATTTTGTTACGTACATTTTGTGTTGTATTATTATTATTCCATGCTTATTCAAGCTTCAACAGTAATGCTTTATGAAAATAATTACATGTGTTATGTCTGATGTTGATTTGTCAGGAAGCCAAAAATTTTACTTTGTGTATCCTGCCAAGAATCATGCAACCATCAAGAAGAAAGGTGTCAAAAATGTCCTCTTGAATTTGCTCAAAGGACAGCAATGATATATCATTTGGTATCATTTAACAAAGGTGATTGGCAGTTTTAGAGGAATTGGAAAGCAAACGTCCAAAAATCTTCTTTCCTTGAATAAAATTAGGTTTGATTTCATAAAGATATCTTTTGGGGAATAAATTAAAAAAATATTGATAATAATGTAATGCCATCATCATAAGTTACAATGAAAGAAGGAAACTGAATCTCACATACATAACTACTATTTATTCATTTCTGGAATTTGTCAACCACCATCAGCCACAAGATGTGTGGCTTTGGGGCCTTCTTCAAACATGGACCCTACATTCTTGCATTGATGTAAAACTCTCTTAGCTCTGGGGTGGGTGTTTATATATCCACCTGCCACATGGTTCTTCCCATATCTCCACATCCCAGGCACTGTCAGGTTGATCCCATGTCCACTTGTCAGGGTTGGCCACTGATATCCTATGAGGTGTGGATTTGTACTTGGTGGTTAAGAGGTTATCTGTCAGGCCAACCTACCGGTGCACTTTGCTTCCTTAAAAAACACAGTGCAAAATCCACCCTAGAATCATCTGCGGTCAGTCACACTACAGTTGATTTGGTATTGCTAGCTAAAAATAATGGTATGGTAAAAGAATATGTTTGTTTTATTACAGAATTCGACGCAATATGAATGAACAGGTTAAATGGAGTTTTGTCTTGGAACATGTTCAGCCCAGTCAGAAAAATTACATATTTGCTGCATCATCACAGCAAGAAATGGTGGTAAGTAATTTCTAATTAATTTAAGACTATACAGGAATTTTCTGCCTGAAGTATGAGAGGATGCTGAAAAGTTGTTGGCCCAACCAAAATTCTGATGTTTGATCATTTGCTCAGATTTTGGGAAGTGTGTCATGACAAGAAGTTTTCAGTACCCCCTTGTATATCACAAATAGATCTTTAATTTCTTTTTCACTTTTCCTAAATTATGGTATTATATTTTCATTTTCTAGATAAAAAAATTATTGGGACTGTTGCTATGGTAATGCAGCTAAAGTACGTAGACTGAAGCAGCTCATACAAATTGACCTTGAACTCTGTCACGCATATACACTAAGTTATAACATTCTCATGCACTTCTGTTATTTATATTAGTGCTTGGAAGGAAAGAATGTAGAGTATAGTTGTTTCCCCACAGCACAGTGGTTCTATCAGTGGCCACAGCTTGTGCAACAGTTTTTGGCCAAGAATCTCATTCCCCAGTTTCAACAACCAACATATTCCCCAGATATTGCCTCCTGCGACTCTTTCCACTTCAAAAATCAAAGCTCAGTTGAAAGGAACAAGATTTCAAGAAGTCAAGGCAATCCAAGAAAATGCGATGAGGCAGCTGCTTGCTATTCCAAAAAAAAGAGTTTGAGGAATGCTTTCATCTGTGGAAATGATGCAGGATAAAATGTGTTGCTTCAGAAGGAAACTACTTAGGAGATTAAATGCTGAATTGATATTTGTTGTAGTTTTCTTTTTTGAGGAAAAGATGAAGTGGAAAAAGTTTTCATGTGACACAGTTTTGTTCTTTAAGACTTCATTGGATTAAGTTTATGTTTACATTGATTCAACTATACATGCATGCATAACCTAACCTTGTCATGCTGGGAATTTTAAATTAAATCTTTTTCTTTGTGTGTTCTGAGCATAAAATCTAACTGATTTCATTTAGATTCATTTTCTTTCTGTTTGAGTTTCCATTACTTTTGTTATTAAATACCTGACATTGTCATAATAGAAGATTTACCAAGAATGGTGAAATGTTATAAGAACCTGGACACAGATTTATTGTAGATGATCCAGTAATTAAAGCACCAGTCCTGAAACTTTTTGATCAGCCCTTGTATTGTCTGAAAATCATAAATCTACTCTTACTATTAATCAACCCTATGATTTTGATTAGATTTTTTTTTAAATTAACTGATATACCTTTTTTAGGTTAATATTTCTCAGTTTTTGTTGCTTATAATTTTCAAAAAATACAAATTAATTTGTTAACTGTTTATTTTTAAAAATTCATTCTCTTTATGTTACAATAGATATAAATTTCTGTTGTGAAAACTGCAGTTTTGATGAATAGATAAAAACAATTATTTCATTTTATTTATGAACTTTAGGAATGGATGAAACATATCAAGGAGGAAATGCTCCGTGCCAACAACAGAGGACCAAGGTAAATTTAGTTCAGACATTTTTTAATTTTAATAAATGTTAACCAAACCATACTTTCAAAGACTACACTGTTCAGCCGGGTAACTCAAGAATTTATACAAAATTTTAACATTTCAGAATAAAACATAAAAATAAGGAAAATAATAATAATAATAATAAGGAATATGCTACTCACTGTTCTGGTATTTTATGTGGAATATTGTTTTCCCTGGATGAAGTGTAGTCCTTGAAAGTATAAGTTGGTTGACAGTTATTAAAACCAGACTGTATGCCATCTGACCTTAGCTCACAACACCTGAAGACATGAAAGACAAAAGTATACTTGCTAAGAGTTATTGGGTTCGTTGTTTTAATATGATATAATGGTAGCAGTTGACTTGTTATCAAGTAAGACTCTTTTTGGGTTATTTATTGTTTTTTGCCTAGAAATACTGCTGGAGAGACAATGAATTGTGTGTGTGAAAGATATATAGGAGGCATGGTGAATAGCAGTTCAAATTACAGTCAATTCCATTACATTCATTTACGTGGTAATACCCTTGGGAAAGGTATTAACCCTCTTCTTCTCCCTCCAGCTATGAGTAAATAGCAGGACAGACTGGGTTCTATAGCCTTGGATGGCAACTGGTCTAGGAGAAGGACAACTCTGAATTCAAAACCAGCAGAGGGTTGTTTGGGGACCTTGTGGCACGTAGTGCATCAGGTCTCTGTATTCGGCTTTTCAAAAAGTGTGATTGGTTCTGCACAAAGCCTTCGCCACTATAAACAAATCATATGTGCTGGTGTTTGGTTGTCAGTTCCTAGCAACTTATATATATATATATATATATATATATATATATATAGAGAGAGAGAGAGAGAGAGTTAACAAGTCAACTGCCACCATTATATAATATATCATTAAAACAATGAACACAACTCTTAGCAAGTATACTTTTGTCTTTCGAGTCTTCAGGTGTTCCATATATATATATATATATATATATATATATATATAATTTTTACTTCACATCTTATGCATAAAAATGACACAAATTTAGCTTATCTCTTTTCATATGAATTAAAGATCTTTGTAATATTAGGATTCACACAAAGAAAATTTGTCAATTAGCTGATTGATGTTATATTTGGAACCTCACCTCCAAAGTTTTGTAGGTGAACCCTTTTTATAATCATTTAATTCACTTGTCAGAATGTAGACTGAACAATTACTAAAAGGTTCATCTACAAAACTTTGTAGTTGATGTGCTGAATATAACATAAATCAGCTAAGTGATATATTTTATTTGTATTAATTCTCTTAATGCTCTATTCCTGATATAAAGCACTTTATTGCAAAGACTGCTTGCCTTAAATATCTTTCAGACTTCCACTGACAGTATTTCTGGCTTTACACTATCTTTGTTACCACTGTACATATGTATATATGACATTTAATTTGACATCTTTCACTGATGAACTGGTATCATCTGAAAAGAATTTATCACAAGAATGAAATCTACATGAGAAACAGCATGATTCATGTAAGGTTTCTGAACACTTACATTATTTACCATTCTGACAGATTTTCATCCAGATATATACATATCTACTACCTTTAGTTGTTTTGGATGCCAGTTGTTAAATATATGGAGAAGGTTGCAATGAACTGTCCACAAACAGACTGGACACTATTTGTTTCCTGTGAACATATTTGTAAGTATCTGACTGATACTATAAGAAATGTTTCTACTTAGTTGAAATATGTCTCTTGTCTTCCATTATAGGTTAATCACTACAGACTTGACTTTCCAAAATTGGATGTCATATCACTCAATTGTCATCCATTTATATACCTTGACCTTCAACTGAACAGAAGTTGATATCACAGTAGTAGTAACAATAGTCTTGATTTAAATATGATATTTAACTTGCCTCTCCTCATATGGACTAAAAAACTCTTGTAAAGATTATGTAGCAGTCACTAATAAATATAGTTTGAAAATTCTGCTCATTTTTTTGTTAGTTAGCACTGCCAGTACATAAAAAAAATAAACTCTTCTGTTTTGATGGAAGAAAGATGGAAAAGACATCAGATATTCTGTTTAGTTTCAGTGAGAAAAAAAAGAGAATGAAAATGGAGGAAGCTCTCATTTGTTTAATGGCTACTTTTCAATTTCAAATTTTTTTACTTTTTTACCCTCTTACTTTTTTAAATAATGACCTACATTCATACTTTTGATTGTTATTGCAATATTTTGTTAAGATTGTTAATCTCAAATAGTTTGTTATATTCTCAATAGGAGAATATCCTTGGATCTTATTATCAAGGACTTTATTCAACCATTAACTTAATAATTAGGGTTCATCAGAAAATTCAAATAGGGTAAAATAGCAGTAAAATTTTATATGTATTACTAGTTTAACTAATTTGATAATGACAATGATTGTATTTCTTTCTTTCTTTTTTTTTAAACAAATCAAAATTTTCATTCTCATTTTTCATCTTGTAGAACTACTGCAGATGGTTCTTCAGATGGAAGTGGAGGATATTGCCCACAAGATTCTATTGAGAAAATTGAGGAGAAGATTTATGATGAGATAAAGGACTTTACTCCAGTTCATTTACCAAACTGTGATTCCAATGGTGAGTGTTTATTAACACCTTTTCCCCTCAAATTTTTAAACATATAATTAGAGAAAATAAAATATCTATCTATCTATCTATCTATCTATCTATCTATCTATCTATATATATATATATATATATATATATATATATATACAGGGCTCTACGTTGCTAGTGAAACAGTCGCATTTGCGAGTGATTTTTCCAAGTGGCGACTAGAAATAATGAAACGCTTATCTTTTGGCGACTGTTTTTTTTTTTCACCGACAATCTTCCAAAGCTCATTACTGAGCAAAAAATGTCTGTTCAACCTTTTTTTTTTAATAAAACGAGCAAAGTCAAATTATTTAAACAATAAAAGGTTTAATACAAGGGTCGGTAACCTGCAGGCCGGATCCAGCGCGCGAACCTGATTACCAATGACTCTATTTTTAACATGAGAGAAGAGGCTTTCGAATTCGACAAAAGGCCTGCTGCTATCTTCCTCTGATCCACCCAACCGAATTTGAATATTATGACCACAAAAACACGATCAAAACCCAATCACCTCCATTTCAGCGTAAAAAATTTAAAAAAATAAACATAAAACAAAAACTGAGAGCCAATTTGACCGACCGGCGACAGCTTCAAAGGGACAATGTTGTCTCAGTCGGCTTTCTATTTCATTCCTCCAACAGTGAACCCCACCCCCATTGCTTACCCCTGCCATCTACCCTATGTAAGTTGCTGGAATCTTTCAATGGGCCATGTTCTTATCTTATCATACCCCTCTTCTTCTCAAACAAGAGTCTTTCGTGGAACAGTTTCAAACCTACACGTCATAATTTCATCCATTTCACTTCGGTTGATTTTTTTTCACTTTGAAGTATTTTGACGTTCCTTGAGGAAAAATAATTTTTATTAGGTGTTTTTTAATTTTAGATTTTCTTTTGTTTTTCTGATTTCTCAATGTTTATTTTCATTATGGTTTTAAATATTTAGGTTGACAGGGGTCTGCATATGTAATTTTCATTAATTTTTCATTAATGGCCTTCGTCCGGCCCCTGGTTTAATAGAACAATATACAAGATATTAATTGGCATTTTGACAACGGCAGCACACATTTTATTCGCAGTTTCATGTTTCATTCATTTTTCTGAGCATGCGCAAAGATTTAAAGAAACATGGCAATGAAGAAAACAATACTAAAGCCGATATCGTCTTTCTTCGCAAAATCGAACAAAGTAGAAATGCTGAATAAAACTGAGACTCAAAAGAATGCCCCGAATGATAAACAAAGTAATGATGACACACAAAATGAAAGTAAGCCGTCCATTGTACAAGAATTACGACAAGTTTGGTTGTCAACTTTCACCTGGCTTTGTTACGATAGAGAAAAAAACGTGATATATTGTGATTTTTGTCGTAGGGCTGGTTCAACTTTGGCTGGAAAAACTGATTTTGTAGATGGGAGTATTAAATTTAAATGTGAAAACGTCCTTGCCCATAAAAAAAGTCTTAGACACTGCAAGTGCCACGACTTTATCATTAATAAAACAAGCAAACAGTCAATTGAAAAGTCTCACATTGCCAAGAAATTTCTCGATGCAGAAATCAAATCAAACGAAAAGGATTTGATGGGTTTGAAAGTTAAATTTAACACAGTTTATTGTATAGGGAAGGAAGAAATGGCCTTTACAAAACTCAAGCCCCTACTCTTACTTCAATACAAAAATGGGCTACCTGTGACACCTGCATACAGTAACGATGTTAGGTGTGGTGAAATGATGTCTACTATTGCAAGCACGATCAGAGATGAGACATTGGAATCTCTCATTATGTGTCAGTTATGATTGATGGTGCCACCGACAGCTCTGTGTCAGAAAATGAAGCAGTTTATGTGAGAGCAGTGTTGAATGGCAAAGCAGAAAATAAACTTGTTGAATTTATTGCCATTGAACATGGCCATGCTAAAGGCATTATCTCTTCTACTAAATCTGCTCTTTCAAAAGTGGGGATCACTGATGTTGAAATGTCATTGAAAATTGTTGGGTTTTGTGTAGATGGGGCAAATGTGAATACAGGACAGAGGAATGGTATTGTGGCTGCAGGATGCAATATGGAAGTTGTTCAGACGGAATGGAGACACATGAAATTCTTTGTTGCAAATACTTTCAGGGACAAGTCTTATTCTGATCTGTGGCAAATCCTACTGACCAAGGACCCATACAAGACTTGACTTCTGCAATGTACTTCATCTTGTGAGAATAATGCTCACTCTTCCAATCAGCTCCACGGTGTGAGAGAGCCTTTTCTGCACAGAAGAGAATAAAGAGCGACATACAGAGCAGCTTGTCTGTACAGAGACTGTCAGACCTTCTTGCTTTCTTCTGAAGGTCCAAATCTGGCTGAATTCAACCCAGAGAACTCCATTGACAAGTGGATGGCAAACAGCAGGAGAAGGATTGCTGGGGGGCCAGGACAGTGTGACTGGCCAGCTAACATTGTGTCTGTTGATTGAAAGTGTAAGGACAAAGCAGTACTGTTTGAAAACAAAGATTTAGAGTCACAAGCTATTGATTTGACAATTCAAATTGAGCAAGTGTTAAAGTGGGACTAGAAATTGGAATAAAAAGGTAAATGCAATTCAATATTGGGTAAATGGAGTTATAAATTTTAAAAGATAAAATTTCAGTTTGAAACAGATAGAAATAAGTTCAATGTCAGTAACACAGACACAGTATGTGTTTGCCAGACCATCTGGACATTTCCCTTTCCAGTCCCACTTTAAGATCTTAGATCAGCATTACTATAGTTAATATAGTTAATATTTCTGAGTGACATTTACCAACCTGATAGGGAAATTGAAAATAAGGTAAAAACCTGTTGTTAAGAGTGTTACAATAACTGCAAATCGTGACTGAATATTTCTAAATGACATTTTTGCCAGGTAACTGTTGAATTGAATGTAATGTTTTTATGAGGTTGTTGTTGTTGTTGTTTCAAGTTTAATAATAGTGAAACTGATGCGATCTTCAAACTTGCATTTGTCAGTTGACTGAATTATCCTGAGTGATATTTGCCAGGTAACTGTAAACAGTTCTACAGTTTCTAGACTCAATATAATGTATTTATGATCTTTTTGTTTGAGATTGTTTAGTAATATTGAAACTGATGAGATATTGAAGACTTCAAATTTGCATTTAAATTTTGTCAGTAAGTTTACTGAATATTTCTAAATGACACCTTTCAAAGTTTGCCAGGTAACAATTGAAGTGAATGTAATGTCTTTATGAGGTTGTTTCAAGTTTAGTAAAAATATTGAAACTGATGAGATCTTCAAACATGTATTTGCCAGTTAACTGAATTATTCTAAGTAATATTTGCCAAGTAACAGTACCACTGAATGTAATTGTTCTTGAAATTTCTAAATTTCCTCCCATAAATTTCGTCTGTATTGTCTTAGAGAATTAGAAAATAAAACAAACTTCACCTGGAATTGTTTTATTCATAACATTAGAGTGAAATAACATTACATGGATTTGGCTAGTAAACAAAAATATTTAGTTGTCAAAGGTCAACTAAAGGTAAATTTGTCCGTAGAGCCCTGATATATCTTGTGTATATTTAGGCATGAACTTGAAAGGATCACGAGGCTTTGTTTCAAGTCACCACCTTTAATGCTTGATTAGTATTGTGGGGTATTTGAATACCCTCACACACACACACACACACACACACACACACACACACAAAATATTTTTTCTTAACATTTTACAAATCAAGTTTTTATTATTACTGAAGTAGTTTAATACCTTGGCCAAGGAATTTTTGGTTTTATTCATATTTGTGGGAATTAAATAAAAGTGGTTTTATTTGTGTTTTGCGACATCTATTTATGAGACTGGCTTTTTGTCCATTTTTAGGATAAGTGGCTGAGATTTTGTTTTGTTGTCATAAATATTATAGTTAGATATTGTTTCATTTTCTTACACTTCTGCATTTCTGTGAGCAACTTCAGAAATTGATAATGGTATGAAAGAAATATATCATCATAGTAATATGGTGGAATCCTTATACATAAAGTAAACTCTAGATTTGATTCATTGATTTTTTTTTTACAACTTATCAACCGTTTTTGTAGGTTATTTAAAGCCAGAAAATATTTTAGATTATAAAGATTTTTTGGGAGATAATAATGTTTTACTGATTCAAGCCCTACTAATTAATCCTTAACTGGGGTAAGATGAGGTAGGTCCATAACTTTCCTTAAGGTATCTGTGCATAAGTTAATTTTACAAATCTGACTAATTGGAACTCTGCTCTCTGATCTCCAATTCTGAGTCATTATCCATTATGCCAAACGCACATCAAGCTTACAGCACCTAATATTAATAAACTTTAGAATAAAGGTCTATAAAAAAAAAAAAAAAATTAAAATATTTTTGATATGCTCTAATAATGTTGTCTTTAAAATTATTGTATCTGTCTTCAAATGTTTCAGACAGTGATTTGGACATAGATGAAATAGAAACTATGAGGCCGAAATGTAAGTATTTAATAATTTACTTCATGAAGCATCCTTAAATGTTTTAAAATTTGTATCAAATAAGACCTAATTCACATTATTGTCAATTAATTATTTGTAGACATTGCATGAATAAGATTTACTTGACTACTACTAGTCCTCTCTCCAGCTTTTGTCATCTGCTGCACTAAAAGCTGAAACATTTCTGGTTGTAGCAAACAAAATTATCAAACACAATATTTTCCTCCTTTCTTTTTTTTTTATTAACATAAAATCAACATTCACTCTGTAATTTTTACATTAGAAAATTAGGGAAAAAGGGATTGTCAGCAATTACAAATTAAGACAATCATTACTGACAAAATAAGGCTATTATAAATGTTAATTTGTTACTCCAGAAGAACAAATACTGTACATGATCATTTGAAGGGCATAAACAGGGTTATTATCCTGTTATAATTGTGCTTCTCTCTCCCTTTTTTGTTTGAACCCCCATTATGTCCTGCCAATACCTCATAAATAATGGACTATTCCATTTTGATCTTGTGAAAAAAGGGGAAATGACAGTACTTAGTTTTAGTGAGAAAATGAAAGAAAGAATGGAAGATAGAAGTGTTTATCTTCTGTTTCAGTGAAATGGAAATGTTGTCAATTTCAAATCTTTTCATTTGTACCCTTTTACTACTTAAAATAATAACCAACATTCATATTTATGATTGTTATTGCAATAGTTTGTTAAAGTTGTTGAGCTCAAATATTTAATGGTGCGATAGGGCAATTTCTATGGATATTTTATTGTCATAGAACTTGCCATGAGCTTACTCAGTCATTAATTTAAGGATTAAGATTCATCAGGAAATTAAAATAGGAAAGCTGTTAAATTTTCACTGGTTAAAACTTATAATTATTACAGAATTTGTTTACTTCAAATCTTTTTTTTTTTCTTTTTTTTATGATTATTATTCATATTTTTATTTTTTCTCAAATTTTCTATGCCTTCAAGATGTAAGTGACCATGGCTCTCCATATTCCAGTGCCGAGACTACCCTACTATTTAACCCATAACTCAGAATATGAAGAAGTGATAGATCCATGCCTATCCCATAGACATTTGTGCGAAAGTGAATGCAATATAGTAGGCTGGAATTTGAACTTGACTTGTCTATTTCAATTTCTGTACCAATAACTATTACACTACTTGCACATCCTTTCATATGATCAATTTAAATTTATATTTGATGTATCTGCGACTAAGAGGTATAGCTCAAGATGCAAGGTACAAATTAAAGATATTAAAATCAAGCAAGTGATTTCTGCAAAGTGTTATAACAGAGGATAGAAAATGTGGAACCAAAATCCAAAGGTGCATTGGAATAGTAAAAGATGCCTACCAAAAGCTAAGCAAAATATTAAGAATCAGGAAAATTTCAATGTGATGAACTGCTATGTAATATTGATCCTCCTATGTGAATGCTGGTCAATTTCCTTACAGATGAAGAGGAGACTGCAGTTAATGGAAATGGGGTTCTATAGAAGAATACTAGGCAGAAAATATATGTTGAATTTTTGGGATGTATAATGAGAAAAAAAGGCTTGGAGAATTTAATACTCACAAAACATTGAAGGCAAGAGTGACAGATGGAAACAAGAAGTAAACTACTTAACAAACTTGTGATGACAGAATAGGAAGTGCAAAGAATAGTAAAAAAAAAATGCAAAAAACATTGCTAAGATAGGAAGTTGTGGAGAGTAGCAAACCATGCCTACCCACATCCTGAAGGGACACAACACATAAAAGATGTAGATATAGACTTGTCATACAATACATTAGTTTTAATTGCTCACAGTGCTTTTATGAAGTTTCCAATTATTTTAGTCATTTTAAAAGTAATAACATACTTTTATAAGTATTACATGCACTACAATTTTAAATTAGTTTTCAATATTTAGTTGCATTTTATAAGTGGTGTCTATCAAGTTGAAAATTATTACTAAAATATTTTTGTAAGAATAGAGTAGCATCAAATAAAAAAAATTATTAATTTCAACCTTACTTAAAATTATTGAAGGTTGTCATTGATTTAACCACAATTCACTTTCATTCATTTGGGATTCTCAAAATAAATCTATTTTTTTTTTATCCTGGTGACTATCTTGTCCTAAAAAGACAATAAACATTTAAACCAGTGTTCATTTTCATAATAATGAAACACTAACTTCTGAATTTTTCCTAAGGCATATATAACTGTCTTTTTTAAAGAGAAATAAGCACATATATCAAATCTCTATAAAATCAAGGCTGAAATAACGATCATAAATCAAAAAGTAAAAATTGAAAAAAAAAACATTGGTTTGTTGGTTGATTTGAAAACATATCAAGCCATTTTGGATTATTTAATGTGGGAGTCAGTATATTTTTTTTTTTTTTTTTTTTTTTTTTTTTTTTTTTAGCCCTGAACTAAATATATATAATATTTTAATATTATAATTAATCATTTTTAGCTTTTCTCCATTAATCCCCATCAAGAAAAATTTCTGTAAATTTTTTCTAATGTTTTATATAATTTAAATTTTTTTCTTCTCAATTTAAAGAGTAGAATTTAAATATGAAAACACAAATAATCTTCAGAAAATTTAAAAATTACCTTCAACAGGTGGGAATGGCATCATGAAAGCAGATCTTTGTAACTCTTGCTTTAACAATAACTGCACTGTAAAAGCAAAAGAAAGACAGGGTGTATATGAGTTTGAATGATTTACAAAGTTATTTTTCATAAGATATTTGGTTGCATGATTTTATAGTTCATGATATAGTATAGGGCTTATTTATTGTGATTTTTTTTTATTTTGTTCTTTAAAGTGAAGGATTGTCTTTCTTTCTTTTTTTTTTCTTATTATTATGTTGAAATGGTTTGTTTTTGCCAGAGAAATTTTTAAGTTTATGGCTTCTTCTAGTTTATTTATTTGTATTTTATTTTATTTTTTTTTATTTAGGAGGATCATTGGCATTAATTAGCAGGATCATTGGCATAGTTTATTTTAGGATTTTTTTGTTAAATGGTTCTTGTCTCTTTGTTAGAGTGAGAATGATCAAAAATGAAAATCTTTGTGATCTGTTTACAGGACTTTGGTTGGGTAGGGGATTTGAACATTTTGTGGGAGAATTCTTAGTCTGTAAGGAGTTAGTGACATGTTTTGTTCATTTTCTTGGTTTTCACTATTTTGTTTTGTTGGAAGGGTTTGTGGTTTTGATGGGATTTGGCAGTAGTTTTGGTTTTTCATAATGTTGTTTTGATTCCTTTTATGTACATTGGTGAGTCATAAGGCCCTAGTTTTAGTAGCTTCTCAATAAATACTTAGTATTTATTCAGTTTATTGGTGTTGAAATTGATGTCTTTGCACAATATTCAAGTAGGATATACTTCTGGTCTGACTTTCTGCAATCTTTTATGCCTTTGAGAATGTTTATTCTATATTTTACCTCAGTGATTTCCTTTCCTCTCCTCCAGATTTACCACATTTGTGTATATACTGTTTCTTGTCTAATACAGCTTATTCATTTGATCCATCACATTCTCCATCAGGGTGGTCAAGGTTTTTTTGCCTGCATGTCTTGCACATTGATAGTCCCATTTAACTATGAAATGCCTATATTTTTGGCATTTATAGCAACTTAGATGCTAGAGTATGTATTGGTCTACTTTTTTAATGGTTGAATCTATTTTGAATTCTCTTAGTATTTGAGGTGTGTTTGTTTGAATCCATTTGCCTTTCTTTTTTATACTTATCCTTCTAAGTTCTTGATTTTTAAGACTTGTTTTCATCTCATCCAATGTAGAAAGAGATCATTCAGAGTTTCTATAACCTTACTTGTGTTTGATGGAGATTGGTTTTTATTTTTATGTTGTGAAATGTGTCTACCCTCAACCATGTCTCCACTTCTTTTTTTTTTCACTTCAACCAAAAGAAATTTGATTTTTCAGTTTTTTTGACTGTCTTTCAGTCAATCGAGAAGATATGCTTTTTCTATAAAACATGATAAACATTGAAAAATTAAATGATATTCATAATCTTATTATTCATGAAATATTTCTAATTGTGTGTGTGTGTGTGTGTACATACACATATGATAAAGACCAATATTAATACTTTTTCTTTTTCTTTTTTATAGATAGAGACACTTTGGTAAGTATTTAAACAATTTTTTTGCAAGAAAACTTAGTTAATTTGAAAAAATTGCTGGAAATGTTTCAATTATCATTTTTTTTATTTCTGCATATTTCTATAAAAAGTGCTTCTGTATCTGGCATAAATAATTTAGATGATTGCTTTATTTTTTATACTAACTGCTACCTATAAAGTATGAGTGAAGTGAAATATTTTTCTTTGACTGAATCTATATACCCAACTTTTTTTAGTACCAACTAATATAAATAAGTACTAAACAAATTAGTACCAACAAAAAAATATTAATCAGTCCCAATTTTCTTTATGAAATAATTATTATTTATAAATATTAAGTGAAAAATAAATTGTCTTGTGTTGTAATAATCAGTGATTTATTATTATAGCATATCAGTCATGTTGATTTTGATGTTTATATTCTAATATGACAAAACAATAAGTAAAGCAAACTCTTTCTCTATTTTAGTACACTTGCTTTCTGTTATGTATCTGCTAGTGCTACTGGTTAAAAAGTGTACAAAAAGAAACATCTTGGACTAAGCATGTTCATTCATTCCTTTTTTTCTCTGAACTGCATTTTTGGAATGAAAATTTGCTTGTGCCTCACCGAATTTTATGTGATTAAAAGTACATTTAAAAATGAAAAAAAAACCAGGAGTTAAAGGTTGATAACTGCAGATTCAAAACAAAAACATTATCATTGATAACTCTCTCCTCCAGTTTGTGGAGTCTAGTTACTATATTCTTAATACTTGATATAATGCAAAAATATCACAATGATGAAATCAGTCAATAATTATTTATAACTATTTATACTGGAAATCATGCATGCAATTACAAGTAATCCATAATATTATTTAAATTTTGAAATCATATTTATTTTTGCCATATGAATTTTTTAAAACTGTTTCTAAATCTTTGATTATCTTTCACTTATTCCGCCTTACCTGCTATTCTCTTCCACTGAACCTATGAGATGCACCATACTGTTTGGGAACCACTGTCTTGCATCCTCAGGTCTCTTTTATAGATATCTCTGTTATCATCTACTAAAATATAGCTTTTAATGAAGTCATTTCAATATCTATTCTCATATCTATTGGCTACCATTAACCATTTGGTACAAGGATATTTTTTTAAATCACTTTGTTTTGAGAGAGAAAAATTTGTTTTTTGAGTTTTTGTAAATAATGTTGCTTTCTTCACATGAAGTTCCTATTATCAGTGCTTTATAAGGGACAGAGGAAAGCAGCCCATAACCTAGTTAATGAGCTTGTGTAAATGGTTAACAGAACAGGGATTAGGAGAGATATCAAAAAGAACTACAACAGACAGGAAGTTGTGGAAAATAATGATCACCAACATCCTGAAAGGACACAAGACATAGAAAAAGAAATTATTTACTCTTCAAGTTTCATTGACTTTTGAATGAATCATTCACTAGTTTAAAAATCACTGAGTTACTCTTTTGTAAATTTTAAATATTGTCTTTATTTTCTTTTCCTTGACTAAAATGATGACATTCTATTTAATTTTGACTATGAGAGGATGTCAAAAAGTTCTTGGTGAATCTCTTTACCAAATTCAATATTGCATTGATCAGAATTTATTTTACAAGAGTTAAGGAAATAGAGATGCAGTTAACAATAATATTAGTCATTTCCTTATAAGGTAGCATAATGGATATTGGCACAGAAAATGGGATCATTGAGTTCAAATTCCAAGCAAGTCTGTTGCATTCACTTTCACACAAATGCCCTTGGAAAAGGCATGAATCTGTCTCTTCACCTCTCCCACCTAAACTATGAGTTGAATAATAAGGCTATTCTAGCATTGGGTGCCAATCAGTTTAAAAGAAGTACAACTTTGAATTCAAAGCTGATTGGTTTTGGAACTAGCAACTGTACACCATAAAAATCTACTTGCTAAGGAAACCAGAGTAGCAAGACCTAGTGTCATGAGTCTGTGGCCCTATACTCCAGAGGGAGTTTTTTGGTGCTAAGTGGGAGGAAGAGGGAAACAATTATTATTAAAGTTTATTGAACTGTCGAATAGCATATATATTTGTTGGCTCAAGGTCATTCTTTTGTTCAAGCCAAGAGCTTTTCAGCATCACCTCATATAACATGAGCTTGATTAAAACAGAAAATAAGCACTCATGAGGGTATAATGGTTTGAATAGTGCATTGGGAAGCCATTCAGTCACAGGTTTCCCTCATGCTATAGAAATCTATCCGACAAATACCTACATTGACACCAAGAAAATATACTTCCTTTATGTACTATGTCTCATCAGGACATAGACAATCATGGCCCACCAAAACTTGCTATCCTTTGTTGCTATAAGCAATATTTGTCTATTTACTATTCCTCCCAGTCTCTGTTCTGTTTTATACAAGCTTGTTAGGTAGGTTACTCACTGTTTCCCTCTACTTCTCTATGTCCTGTGAGTGTCAAATTCTCTAAGTACTCTTTCCTCATTGTGTCCCAGAAATTTTGACTTTCTCTTTCTGATTCTAAGTACAAGTTTCCTTTTTGTTTCCATTTTCCTTAAAACTTTCTCATTGTTCATATATTTCTTACATGGTATTCTCAGCATCCTTCTGTATAGTAATATCTAGTTGCCTCAAGTCTCCTCTTCATCTGTGTAGAAATTGTCCAGCATTCACTGCCTTGTAGAAGGATTGATATTACATAACATTTCACCACCCTTTGTTTCTAACAAAATTTTTCTGTTTCTTAATACTTTGTAGAGCTTTTGTGTTCCAAATGTTAACTAAAATATCTTATTCTTTTTTAATATTTATTTTTGACAGCCAAGATTTAAGCTACCAAACTTGCCAAAGTGAGTTACATTTTTATCTTTTAATTAAACAGACAAAATGCAAGAAGTGCTATACAAAAGTTTTGGAAACTTTAAATATCAAATGTTTTTGGTGGGGGCATGTTCATAAATGAAAGAACCAAAAATATTGTTAAATAATAAGTCATATTAATCAATTGTATTTGGAAGACAACTTTGTATTCCAGTAGTTAAGCCACCAACTTTAAATAAAAAATGAATCCTGAAAATGTAAAATCTTAAGTCTTCTCAAATTAAAGATAACTAGATTTTATCTACCACAATTTAGGACAATAAATATCTCCATGATACTTTTGTTATCCAAAATCCATAACTCTTTATTCTCTTTTCAATAAGGAGTGATAATTTGGTTGTATGACCTTCATGCTTATGGAATTGAGACCAAACCAATAAAATATTATAAATGGTCCATTTGCAGACAATTTATTGTCCTATTATAAAAACATTCTGTCTGGAACATCCTGTGTAAAGAGCATTTCCAAACATTTGGATTTAACCCTTATCACCTTTTTGTATACTACTGTCTATATAACAAAACTTAGGGTTCCATTTGATTATTTGGTTTCACTAAAGGACAAAATGTTAAACTGTTGAAATACAAATTATTAGAAAGATGAATGATATTAGGACAACTTGTCAATATTTTAACCAAAATTTTCAAAACTTAGGGATTTTTCTTTCTATAGGGTTGTAGGGAGACCACAGTTGTTTTCCCTTGGGTTGAGCCAATGAGAGTTTTGGCCCCTTTTAGAGAGTAGAACTCTTCTGCCCTTTTTGTCTTTGCTTCCATTCTGGGAGGAACAACCTCTTTATCTTCCTGACCACCAGGGTGTCCACACACGTGGAAACTGGTCAACATGTGCATGGCCTAGCGAAAGAAAAACGTACTTTCTATTCACTTATCTGTGGACGATCAAAGGCCATAAAGTTGGTATGTTATTTCTTTGTTCTCGTTCTGTAAACCTCCTCGTTCCTTTGGGACAATATGAACAATCATTTGTTTTGGGACATATGTAAATCTTTTGAATATATGTACGAAAGTTGTTTGCCATATTAAATGTTTTGTTTGTTATGCTCTCGTATTTCGTATTTTTATATTCATATTCAGTGTTAGTGTATCAATGGCTACACTAATGCTAATATTAGTATCGGTGTGCTACTGGAAGGCTAAAACGCGTTATTCTTCCTAACACAGAATAGTCAGTAAACTCTGTGTGGCAGATACCACCATACTAATAGGGTGCTAAAATACTTGCTGAATATTTTGTCAATTTAAGAATAATGAAAAAAAGACATTATTTGGATCCTATATTAATCAGCTGGACAATGATTTGTCCCTAAAAGGCTTTGATCCAAATTTTGACGAGAATACATTTTTAAAACCATTAATATTGTTATGTAATTTGAGCAGCATTTAATAAAAATGACACAAAATACTCAATTTTCTTTGTTTTTTGCCTGTAGATCCCTAGGGTTCTTTCATTTATGAACATGTCCTTCTAGAGAAATAAAAAATATAGCATATAGAATTCTTTATTCCAAGTAAAGTGATTTCAAGAAAATGTCTGGTGAGACATGGAAACTTGATAGATGAACAAATTGATCAATCTTTTAAATTCAGCAAACATTTGTAGTACCTCCGTCTCTGTTTCTCTCTCTCTCTCTCTCTCATACATATATAAATATAAAATGGACAGAGATCAACACCAAGAGGTGACAGTCTGTTTTATGATTGAGCACAATCTTAAGGCCTGAAGATAGCAGCCAAGCATGAAACAAACTTTCATATTCCATGTTGATCTCAATTTCTATTTTTATATTTATTATACATACTCTCTATCCCCAGTATTGAGCACTTTTACCCATGAATATAGCATAAATTAAAACTATATTTTTATCATATATATATAATTACATGAATCATTCATACAAAAAACAAATATAGAGGTTAATGATTTAAATGGCGAGAATACATCTTCACAAACAATTTCAATAAGTTACATTAACCCAGAACCTGTATATTTTCGATATGTCCCTGTTTATAAATTCCAGTTTCAAACAAGAACAAATTTTTTTCCATAGCTTTCGATCTGTTCCTAACAGACGAAATCCTCAGGTACTAAAAAAGATTTGTTCTTGTTTTTTATAAACAGGGATTACATCTATATTTTCGGGGTTGTCCTCTTATTGAAATTGTTTGCGAAGATGTAAAACCATTTAAATCATTAACCTATATTTGTTTTATGTATGAATGATTCATGTAATTATAAATTGAATTGCACCTATAATTGAAATTTTTTATATATATATATATACATGCATACACACACACACATGGCAAAAAGACAATAAACATTTTGTCAATTAATTTAACTGATCAACTTTTCAAAATTACAAATGATTCTTCTCAGACAAGGACGGTATTTCTGATGGCGGCAACAGTCCGTTTCATGCTTGTCTGAGAAGGATCATTCATAATTTGGAAAAGTAAGCCATTGAGAGATGAGAGGTGACTGGGTGTGGAAGAGTTAGAAACGGAAACATTGCTAAGGAGTGGGAACAAAAGAAGAGTAATCAGGGGGATAGTAGATAACGATTGACATTGCGTTTGAATTTTTTGAAGATTGAAGTTAGCTGGAAAACATGAAGCCTGAAGGGAGTTTCACTAGCAAGAAATACAAGAAAAGAAACTGTTAGCATAGAATATATGGTTACATCTAGCCAACTCAACTGCAAATTGATGAGACCTCATCACCAGTCCAGTACTGCACTTAAATTTAAAGTGTCTAGACAATATAGCGAAGAGCTCATCTGAACAATTACCATGAAAGTATTTATAGAAAAGTTACAGGGAGGCAACCTTATGGCAGTTGGAAAGAGAATGAAACCAAGACACTAGAACAGGACCACTGATATTTCTCATTCTTCTTCAAGGAACTCTAGAGCATCAGATCAGACCATATGTGGCAGCAATATTCTATGCACACACACACACACACATATATATATATATATATATATATATATATATATATATATAAAGGGAGAGAGAAATAATTGCGAACAAATTATAAAGTAAAACATATTCAACAAACAAAAATAATGTTTAAAACAAATTGTATACATATTCAACTTAGAAAACTGAAAAAGATTATTCATTAAAATTGCTTACAATCCTGTGGATTGCCTTGATGTGACCTCAAAAAAAAGTGTTTCTCCATCATGTTGGCAATCATATCTATGATCATGACTTCCAATGAGTCCTCAGTACTGTAGGACTGCTGGCTGATATTCCTTTTGATGATACCCTAGATATAGTAACACAAGGTATCCAAATCAGAAGAAGCTAAGAGGCCATACATTGCACACAACATTATTATGAAAATTCTCAGTCAACCATTCCTGGATCACATGAGCCATGTGGGAAAGAGTATAGTTTTTCTAGAATTTACATGGCCACCCCTAAATCCTGGAAAAATTGTAAAATACTTCTAGTTAAAAATCATAAAGTGCTTTTAGATTAAAATTGGAAATTGTTTTTGATTGGGATAGAAATCCTAAATTGACTGTGGACTAAATTTTAGCCCAAAATAGGAAATGTTTTTTGAATGAATTAAAAATCATAATTTCAGTGTAAGATAAATGTTTTAACCAAAATTTGGATTTATTGATTATTAATTGTGCCACATTTTCTTGTAAGTGTTTCTGTTATGGAGTGATTTCACAGTGGAGGCTTTTATTTGTACTAAGTCGGTCCTAAAATAGGTTCGACGTACAAAACGTTAGGAACTTGATATAATAGGTATAACGCAGAGAAATCTAGTTGTGGTCACTGATAGTTTAGTATTCGACTGTCGTCCAACATCGACTGACTGACCGACCCACTCAGCGACTGACTCGTTACTCTTACTACTCCTACTTATTATAGGTGGGAGAGTCTATTAACTATAGAATAGGTGTGTCCCACTATAACAGTTTCTATATTGAAAAAGCTTAAGAAATAAATACATAGACTTTCATTCATCTTTATCAATCACTAACTTCAGATGAATTTGGATAGGATCAATGATAAATGTTATTTTCTTTTTAAAATGTAACATTAACATTGTTTGTATTCCACTGAATTTGGAAGTAAATACATGAATGGTGTACTTGCAGAAGAAGCCCAGGTGAAGGTCAACCAACAAAACGTATTCCCTACGAACAAATAGATGTAAGTTAATTACTGACTAGATTATTTCTATATTTTTTTTTTGTATTTGTCTTCATCAGTTCATAAATTTATAAATGTCAGATATTCAGCTTAAAACCAAATCAACAAAACAAGTAGAAAGAACTCTGTTCACACCTCTGCTAAATAAAAATTAGTTCATGAATAAATTTAGGGGAGGCAACTACATATATCCAAAAACAGACCTTGTCAGTTCTTTTTAATCAAACTTGTTTAGATGAATGCTTGCTACCTAAATATAACTTGTTATATATATATATATATATATATATATATATATATATATATATATATATATATATATATATATTATAAATTAATTGATTTAAAATATGGTTATTTTCCTTTACAGTTCCAACCATGTTTCAAAAAATAGAAGCTAAAAACCCTAATTTTATTTTTTGCAAATAAATTAAAATTTTAAAAGTTACTCCAAAATTCGCTTGAAGATGAAATAGAACTAATGCTTTTAATTTATTTGCAAAAATAAAATTAGGGTTTTTAGCTTCTATTTTGAAACATGGTTGAACTGTGTAGCGAAAATAACCATATTTTAAATCAATTAATTTATAATATTAATGCTCTGTAAATTTACATTGAGCACTATTTTGTAAAAATAAAATATCTATAAGAACACCGGATTTTATATCTTACTGTTCTTTCTTTTTATTTATATACATATATATATATATATATATATATAGAGGTACCTCCACTAATTTGATATAAACCTTTGATACCTAAGGTTTAAAATGAATTTTTTAAAATGAAAACACATTGTTCAAGATTTCTTTTTAGCTTTAATTGAAAGTTAGATGATTGAATTTACTATTTACACTAAGCAAAATATTCTAGCATATTTCAAATAGAAATTATATAGATTGCAATGTCCATTTTTTGCTCACTTTCACAAAATTTTACACATTTGTAAATAAAATTTAATTATTGGTTTTAAGAATTTTCCAAAAATAAAATATATTTTTGTGACACATTGGAGGAAAATCAGCTAATTTAAATTCATCTGATTTGTAACAAATATTACTTATGGTATAAAAAAACATAGTATACAAGCGTTTCTTAACCATAGAAACTGTTTTTTCTGAGGTGTTGATTGATGTTATAAACAGGCTAAGGTATTGACAGCTAAGTATGGATGACCAGAATTGACAAATTTATGAAATCTAAGTGAACACATTTTTGGGGGGTTTTTAACTACCTAGTAATTTTTACCAATTAGCATAATATTTTCAGCATTTATCTAGTATTTTATTGACTTTTAGTTACTATAGTCTTATAACCTTATGTTTGAAGATGCTTTATGAAAAAATAATAAAATTTAAAATACTGCAAATAAGAATAAACTGAAAAAAGTAAAAAACTAAAAAAACATTTCTTCTAGGACATTTCTTTTTAAAAAAAATTACTGAATTGAAGTATGACCCACACTAAAAGGAATACATAAAATAAAAATATTTAGTGAAATAGAAATTAGAAAAAGTAAAACTTACTTTAAAGATTTAAAACTTTGAAGGGATGGTGTGCAAAGCCTGTTGAGGTGTAAACACAAAATGAATAAAGAATTGCAGACAAGCGAATTTCTTAGTAAAGTTAGGACAACTCCTACAGCACGTGACCTTTTAATAATAATGTCATATATAGACTACCATACATACAAAAATGTAAACGTTTAAACTACAAAAAAAGAAATTAAAATTTATTTTAAAAATCTTTGTGTATAACAGTTTATTTCTTATTTATTAAGCAGTATATTTTTAAAATAACATCAATCAACATCTCAAAAAAAAAAAAAAAACAGGATCCATGGTTAAGAAATGCTTGTATACTACATAAAAAATGTAGTAAGTAATACTTGTTTCAAATCAGATTGATTTAAGTTTAAATTTGCTAATTTTCTTCAAATAACATGTTACAAATATAGTGTAACCTGAATATAAGAGAGTTGTCGGGACCGGAGAAGAAGTGTCTTATATCCGGGTTTGGTCTATTTTGTTTACATTAACACAGGCTCTAATTTGGGACCAGAGAAAATCTCTCTTATATCCGTGTTTCTCTTATATCCGGGTCTCACTGTATATATTTTATTTTTGGAAATCAATAATTAAATTTTGTTTACAAATGTGAGAAAATAGCACTTGTAATCAATTTTGTGAAAGCAAGCAAAAAAATCGACATTCCAATCTATATAATTTTTATTTGAAATACACCAGAGTATTTTGATTACTGGAAATAGTAAAATTAATCATTTAGCTTTCAATTAAAGCTAAAATAAAAAATTTTTAATTTATAAAAATTCATTTTAAACCTTAGGTATTGCGATTTTAGTTGCGGTATTTATATTACAAATACTATGCTTTGTATAAAGTATTTTCTTCTTCCTAACTATATGTCTCCACTATAAAATTCATCATCTTTGGAATTTACTTAATTTAAAAAAAAATAGTTTTTATACAATAAATAAATTTCTTTTGTTTCTAAAATAATTTATGATGAATGATTTTCTTTTACTTTTTCATAAAAGAGAAAAATATTCTTTTTATTCTTGAAGAAATTATTTTACTTTTCAGACAATTCCAGTTCCTCTAGAACAAGCTTCTTCATTTCCCAAAGTACGTAAACAAAATCCCCCTGTTATCCACAATATCTGTCAATTACCCCCTTGGTGTTTGATTCCTGTTTTTCTTTCTCTCATGTTAATTCCTCTTCAAACTGAGAATGACTATCTTGACAAAGGAATTATTTTTCCATTCTTCTTTCTATTGAATCTTGAGCAAAAAAAAAAAAAAAATTTTTCTTATTCATGTATATCAGTGGTTCTCAATCTTTTTCTATTCATGGCCTCTTTTGATTGATGATTTTTTTATGTCCCCACTCCTAGCCATTTACTTTAACAAAAGCTCTTTTTAAACAATTACCAGAACAAATAAACAGTGATATTTCTCCATATAAACTTGAAAAAAATGCTTGTTTTAAAACCAAAGCAGTTAACTGAAATAACCTTTATAGGTATCGTCACTAATTTGTGATGCCTAAGGTTTAAAATGAATTATCAAAAATGAAAAAGCTCTATTTTAGCTTTAATTGAAAGCTAAAGGAGTAAATTTACTATTTCCAGTAAGCAAAATACTTTGATGTATTTCAAACAGAAATTATATTGATTGGAATTTTTTTTTTTTTAATTTCTGCAAAAAAAGTTCTGCACATAAATGCACACACAAATTTAAAAAGTTTTATAGAATAAAAACAATAAAAAATAAAGTTATGCAAAATAAAAAAGTTCTGTGCATAAATTTTTCATACCTGCACCCTCGTAACATAAAAAAACACATGAAAATAATTTGATAATATATAGTTAATGCATAAAGATGAAAATATTATCATTTATTTAATCATTAATGGTATCCCCTCAAGGAAATTTAAGGTCAAGTCGCACTCCTCCCCTTGGTTCTCCACTGCTTGCTCAGCTGCCATTGCCCATAGGAACCACTTCTTTCACCTATTTCGTAGCGACATGTCAGACTGCAATAGACATCTCTTTGCCTCCGCCCGTAACGAGTGTAAGCGTGTCCTCAACGAAGTTAAGTCAATATTTGCTGCTTGGATGAAGGAGCATATTGCCTCTTGCAAATTTGGCTCCAAAGATTATTGGCGGCTCTGCAAGAGTGTCCTGAACAATAGAAAACCCTCAATACCTCCTTTATTCAACCAGTTCGAGGTCTTGACCTCCTCTACCGACAAGACTGAATGCTTTGCTCGGAAATTCTCATTTAATTCAACGCTCGACTCCTCCGATGTACCCATACCAGACTTCCCTCTAAGAACTGAGGCCCTATTGAGCGGCTTACACATAACCCCATCATTGGTATTGGGCATTATTTCCAATTTAGACCCCCACAAGGCTAGTGGTGGAGATGGCATACCAGCCATTGTCTTGAAGAAATGTGCGCCTGAGCTAGCACCCGCCCTCTCTAAACTATATAATTACTGCCTCAAGGAATTCTGTTTTCCTGACTGCTGGAAGTCCTCATCCATTGTTCCTGTCTAAGAACTCTGAAGACCCCTCTAATTACCGTCCTATTAGTCTCCTACCCCTACAATTTACTCTTGCCTCAAAAACAAATCTAGTGTCAGTGACAAAACTAACCTGGCCATGCGTCTTGAAATGGATCTCCAATCAGTTGTTAATTGGGGCAAGAATTGGCAGGTCAACTTTAACGCCTTAAAAGCTAAACTACTCTCTATTAATCACCATAGAGATCCTTCCCTGTCCCCCCCATTAAAATGTCTGATAGTCAACTTCTTGAGAGCAACTCTCTGCGTCTGCTCGGTCTCACGTTGACTGCTGACCTGAGATAGAACAAATACATTGAGTCAATTGCTTCTTCCACTGCAAGGAAAGTTGGCTCTCTGTGCCACGCCAGGAAATTTTTCTCCCTGGAATCGATACTTCAAATATACAAATCAACCATTCGCCTTTGCATAGAGTATTGCTGCCATATATGGTCTGGGGCACCTTCTGTTTACCTCGGAGTTCTTGACAAGATCCAGAGACGGATATGTAATATAATTGGCCTTGATCTGGCGTCTCGTCTACAGTCACTCTCTCACAGACACGCTGTCCCATCTCCCTGTCTTTTCTACAAATACTTTCATGGTAATTGCTCCAATGAGCTGCTTTCACTGGTTCCCAGACTCCATGAATTCAAGCACCCTACGAGGCTGGCATCCCGCTCTCACCCTTTCACTGTAGAAACTTTTAAATGTAGCCATCTCTTCTACTCCAATAGCTTCATACCTCGCACCTCTCGCCTGTGGAACACCCTTCCTAATTACTGTTTCCCTGAGATCTATAATCTCCAACTATTCAAATGTAATGTCAATCGACATCTCCAGTTACCTTGATCTATCCACTATCCCTATCCTCATCCTTTCTTCTATCACTCCTATCTGCTCTTGCTACAAATCTTCTACAACCCCCTGCATCCTAGTGGCTTCATGCCTTGCTCAGGGCATAATGCTTAAAAAGAAAAATCCTTGAGGCTGATGTTCAAGCTTTTCAATATTAGGTTTAAATGTTGTCAATGATAAATAAAGATCACCTCTTTTGTAAATAAAATTTCAAAAATATATTTCAGTTACATGATTTAAATGATTAAGGATTTATTAGAACAAAAATGTAACTGGCATTTTAGATACTAAGGTCATACTATTGAACATCCTCTTGGCATTAAACCTCAAAACTTTACAGATGCAGAACATGAAACAGCTTTAAAAAACACCAAAATAAAAAAACAGCAAGACTTGATAGCATTCCTTTGGAAGTTTGGGAGACTCAGGATTTGAACAATATATATTTCAACTCTGTAATGCGACATATAATGAGGAAGTCATAGAAACATGAAAAAGTAAAGAGATCTAGGATTGGCAAAAAAACTATCGAGGAATCACACTTACCTCCATTGCAGCAAAAATTTACAATTCATTGCTTCTCAACAGAATATAGCTGAAAGTAGAATAAGTGATCTGAAAAAAAATCTAAATTACTTTTGAAAAAATAGATCAACCATTGAATAAATCCTGACTGTTTGGTAAATTATTGAGGGCATCAGTACAAAGAATCTACAGGACCCCATTACTTTTTGTAGATTTCTTTAAAATGTTCAATTTTGTACATAACAGAAAAAGAAGTAATTCTGTTGATTTACATAAGGAGTTCATTGCTGCCATTTCCAAAATGAAAGATTAAATACAATTCAAAAGAAATTTAAATGAAACTGAGGTAAAATAAAAGTTACAGGTAAGATTATATGCACATAAAGGTTACAGTTAAATTATATGCATATAATACTCTGTCAGAGTTATTTTCACTCTGTATACACCTCTTAAAATGGGTGAGATAGATTTCAAAAAACATGCCTATTGTCTTAAGTTAGCTAAGTTTTACAAAAAGAGTACTGAACTGTTATGTAGTATCAGTCCTTCTCTATGGCAGTAAATGCTGGACAATCTCCTCACAGATGAAGAAGAGACTCAAAGCAACAGAAATATGGTTCTATAGAAGGATGGGAATACTATGGACTGAATATTTGAGCAACAACAAAATTCTAGTGAAAATGGAAACAAAGAGGACTCTTATACTTAACATCATAAAGAGATAGTTGAAATTTCTAGGGCACATAATGAGGAAAGAAGGCTTGGAAAATTTGATACTCACAGAACAGATTGGAGGCAAGATGGACAATGCATAACCTACTGAGCAAGTTTATGTAAATGGATGGCGGAGCAAGGTTTAAGAGAGATAACAAAAAAAACAATCTGTTAAGAGCTACAAAGGACAGGAAATTGTGGAGAGTCATGATCAAATATGTACTGAAGGAACACTGCACATAGGATAAGTTAGAGGTTAAACATTTTTCTTTAACAGAAGTTCTGCTTTTGGATGAATAGAGTAGTTGTCTAAAATAAGTTTTCACTTATAATTGTGATCCAGACAAAGAGACTCACTTTGGGAACAAAATAATTTTAAATGTATGTCTAATGTAGTCTTAGTTGTTATATATTCTTTTTTATTGTCTCCCTTATTTGATATGGACAATGTATAATGTTTACATTTCATATCATGAGAAGCATTTCCTGTATTAATTGGAGCCCTGACTGGAGCTTAAAGTCAACAGATTATAATAAAGATGCACATCTTCAGTCATTTTCCTACCACCATAATGTGCATATGCACTATAGGATCAATTCACTCTGAGATCCTTGAGAAAGGTATGAATCCATTTCTTAAGCTGTCATAAAGCATCTGAATTAAAAGGTTAAAGTAAGATTATGCAATTTTATAAAATTGCAAAATTTTCTTGACGTTCAATGACATTTTAAAGTCAGCAGGCAAAAATGTTCCCCACCCCTGTCTTTCACAATGCCAAAATAACCTGCTTAATGGAAAGGTATATTGGACTCTCTAATCTTAGTTAGCAACTAGTCTTAGAGAAAAACAGTGGAGTAGGCTACAAGAAAGCACTCAGCTGACTTTCCAAAGAACATATGGTAATTTACAGATAAGGAATCTGTGGAGAGTCAAGATAAGCTATGTCCTAAAACAGTTATGGATAAAATGTGGCCTGCAGGTCATGTGTGACCTGTTTAGCTTCCTGAATGGCATGCTGAATTTCATATGGAAAATAACATTTACTAAGATTTTGTTTTATTTCATCCTAATTGTTGTTAACTAACATTTTCTCATACTTAACCAAATACATAAACAATGATTAAGTACAATGTTACTTGAATTTTGTAACTTTTCACTGAAGGTAACATTTCCTCATTTTAAACCAGTGGCAATTTTTTACTAAGACCATATATGTAAATATCATTTGCTTTAGAAACAGGACATTCATAATTTTTTTTCTCTGAAAAAAATATATTTTTTATTTTAAAATTATATTTTGAATCTTCAATTGAATAAACAAGAAACAAATCACATGCTGCAATGTCTGTTAATCATGGTCATCTGTGATAATATTATACAGAGATTTCATTTTTTAATTATTGAGAACTCTTTTCTCCAAAAAACAATCAACCTTTCACTCTTTCTAAGGCATGTGATTGTGCATAGGGTCTCCTGTGATGAAAATGGCTGTAGTAACTTCAATGAAAAGTTACCTTGAACATTTTTAGTAGTGTGGCCTGCCTTATGATGAGCCATATTTGATGCAACCTACTGGTTGGAATAGGTTGCCCCTGCCTCTCCTTAAAAGATATGGAATTTTAAAAAAATGGTTAAAAATAAAATAATATGGTAATGTTTATTTTAATAACCATTTTGTCCTGTACAATACCAGTTGATAATGCCAGTCTAATAGATTTATATATATATATATATATTTCTTTTAGAAATTACCAGAAAAGAATTATTGGGAATCAATTTACTACCATGGTGACAAAGATGAAGCTACAAAGTAAGTAATTTCATTCATGCTTGACAAACTTTGTTTAAATGTACTGTATTGTGTATAATACAACCTTCAATAAGGTGACTGTAATCTGATCTAGCAGACAACATCAAACAGGGATTTTTTTGCACCATTGTAGAGTCTAGTTTTAATTAATGGTGCCTCTGTCTGGACATTAACTAAAACCCTACAGTCTAAGCTTGATGGATCCTACACTCAGATGCTAAGAGCTCTATTTAACATTTGGAGATGGCATCTAACTAAATCATAGTTCTATGAAACCATCCTTGATATTTCTACAATCTTACATTAATGCTAGTCCTGCATATGATTATAAACGACATCCAGCTGCAAGGCCTCTGATCAGGAGATTGGAGGTTTTGAGGAGCTCTTAATTTCTGTATAGAGGTCCACCCTGACCCAAAGTAGTAGCATCTGTTATGGTCCCAGCTCTGGGCAAATAGTGAACTCCCCCGACCCCCAAAAAAGCAATATGAAAATATAAAAATACATTTTTATATAGTTACCAATAATACCTATTTATAGTAAATTTACCAACAATACATTTTTAAAGCAAAATGACCAGCAACACATTTTATAGTAGAATGACCAACAATACATTTGAGATTTGAAGGCATACAATTGTGTTCAAAATATTTAGATTTTAGCATTAAATAATCTATTAAGGTTGATCTGTTGCTAAGCAAAATCAAGCAACTAACTACACGAATACGGAATCCACTTAGCAAGACACTGCTGGCAAGTGAAACAAGAACTTGCAAGTGATTTACTACTCTGGACACCTAGCCATTGCACAAGACGAGTTGGTCACCCAGCAACCACCCACATTGACCAACTATGTTATCACACAAGATGGCACCCTAATCACCTTGATGCAGGACTGTGATAGTTGGTATGATAGACTCTTGAATGTTCGAGCTTGCTTGACTGAATAACAATAATAAATTAATTATGAATTATTGCTCATTTATTCTCCTTTATTACATACTAGGATCATAGAAGAGATTGCTCAGGATGGTGTATATTTGGTTCGAGACAGTGACAACGTTGAAGCCCCAAAGGTAAATATAATCTTACTGAAAATTGATTTTGTTTATGAAATCACTTGTAAATATTTTCAGTCTATTACAGTATTTAGCATTCTTTTAATAATAAAAATAGTATTCACAGCTTATTTAGTATTAAAATTGGTACTTAATACTTAAGTTCTACCTTTCTTATCATTCTCCTCAAGAATTAAATAAAAATGCTTCAAATAAATACCAATCAGTGAAGAAATAAAATATAAGACAATTACTGAAGGTTATTGCAATTTACTTTTCTAATTGCTATGAAGGTACTTTAATAAATTTTGTCTATCAAACAATATGTAGACACAAAGAATGAAGGTAAGTGTAAGGGAAAAGAGTATGCTTGAAGGTATTGATTAGCTAGTTGATGCCATTATTTTTTTTCTTTAACCAAAAAATGATTTCTGTAACATTGTTCCATAATATGGCTGTTTCAATATAATATTTTGCATATTTAAATGACAGAAATACTGAAGAAGTATAAACAGAGAAAGACATTGGTTTAATTGAAAAAGGAAAAATCTTTCTTTCACTGTTTAAGCTTCTTTTAAATTTTTATATATATATATATATATATAAGGAATATATATAAAGGAAAATAAAAGTAAAAATAAAGAATAAAAAGAGGATAAAACGAAGAACAAAACACAAAAGGAAATTACATTTGATACAAGTAAAACAAAATACAAGCAATCTCACACAATCATCAAATAAACAAACTCACCAAGATTCAAGCATAAATACAATAATAAAATGACACAAACTACTCATCAAAATATTACATACATGAGCAAACATATAGGTAAAAAAGAGTGAGGAATCAATTAAAGGTAATAAGGGCAAGAAAATAGCGTATGTACAATTCATAAGTAGTTGAAATACACATATCAGGTTATAAAGAAACTAAATAAATAAAAGAAAAGATATGTATACATAAACACACATATAAACAGCCACACATACGTATACATATATAAAAAAAACGAATAACTAAATCCACAAGTTCAAACATAACATGTACACATACAAAAAAACTGTATATAAACAAAAATAAAAACACAAACATACCTACATATACACAAATATATGCATAGATACATATAAATATATATATATAAACACATGCACACAATCATAAAGATATATATAAACAAAAATATAAATACACAAGCATAAACATCCACATACAAACAGACATATCAACATAAAAAATTCTTTATTTTTAATTTTATTTTCCTTTTTTGAATTTTTTCTTTTTTTCTTTTCCCCTTTTTTGTTTTTCTTTCTTTTTTCTTTTTTTGTTTTCTTGTTCTATTTCCTGTGTCGTTCTTATATTTGCGTGCATATATGTTTAGTTATATTTATGTGTCTGTATATTAGGATGCAAATGTGTTTGTCATGTGTATAATCTAACTTACTTGTGCATAATATTTGTAGCATTTATTGATACTTTTCACATCAACATCGAATTTACCAGATAAATTGTCACTTAGCTAAGAATAGTAATAATTTTTTTTTTTCTTCTCTTCCATTCCATTTTTGAACAATTTTGTAATATTTTAAATCTAATGCACAATTTAATTTAGAATTTGTAATTTTTATTTTTATTGTGAAATTAAAACTTAATTATTTCATATTAATTTCTAGTTTGATCTAACATTAAATTTAATCAACTAACAGTTTGTATTTAGAATACACTGTCATGTTTTTTTTTTAATTTTCATATACTTGTATTCTGATTGGTCTTTATGGGTTACATAACAAGGTTTCCCCTATTGAGGGGTTTTGATTTGGTTTTGAATTTAAAAAAAAAACTCTTTATTTCACAATTAACACCATCACTTGATAAGACACCAGAAGTATATGACAGGAAGAAGGAAAGATGATGAATGACTTTTTACTCAAAAGGATCATGTTTTCATTTATTTTAATCAAATCAATTATTTCAAAAGTTCTACAAGTTCAGAATTCAGAGATCACAGGAGGTTGTTCTCTCAAAAGATACTGTTTTTCATAAAAGCTATCTTTATTTATTCATTTTTTTTTTTTTTTTTTTTTTTTTTTAGGTTTTGGTCACTTATTCAGAGAATGAAAGACGAGTCAAAAAGTTTCAAATTTTCATGAATAAAAATTCACCTGTAAGTATTAAAAACTTTCACATCAAATGAACAACTTTATAACTTTTATAATATTAATGAAGTTGCTTGAAGAGGCAACTTAAGAATAACCCAAAGAAATGAATTCAAAACATTTATTATACATGAAGACATTTTAGACATAGCATTGAAGTATGTAAATATGTCATACTAAGATACAACACTCACACACAGACTCATATATATATATATATATATATATATATATATATATATAATTTCACCCCAAGAAAGGCAATAAAACCACTAAGACAGAAGGGGTTACTAAATGTGAAAGAAAAAGAAAAACATTTTTAAGAAGTAAGAACAAAAAGAGAAATGTAAAGACAGTAGATAATGATTGACATTCTATTTACATTTTTGAAGATCAAAGTTGGTTAGAAAACAAGAGGCCAGAAGAAAGTCCCACAGGTGAAAAGTGCAAGAAAAAAAAACTGTTGACAAAGAACTTATGACTACATCTAACCAATTCAACTGTAAAATAATGAGAAATACCTTTTTGCCAATCTAGTACTGCACTTAAATTCATAATGCATAGTTACGATAAAGGAAAGTATTTATAAAAAAGGCACAGAGTAGTTACTTTATAGCGGTGGGAAAGTAACTGAAGCCAGGATGCCAGGTCAGAACCAATAACATTGCAGATTCTTCTTTGGATTTTTTTCAAGAATCTCTAAATATATAGCAGGAGCACCAGACTATATCTAGGAGCAATATTCAAAACATGGACAAATGGTTGACTTATAAATATGTAAGATAGATTCTGGAGAAAAAAATTATCTAGTATGAAACAGTGAGCCATCTTTCCTTGCAGCAGACAATATACTGCCTGAACACTGAGAATGCTTTTTGTGCTACACTAACAGGCAACCCATTCCTTCTCAAGGTTTCTGTTTGTGCACAAATGACCTAGAAACTTCCAAAATAAGATGCAATCTCAACATCACTGCTTTGCATATATTGCAACCATTACAACATGTTATTTCATCTCATGTTTGCAGCCATTAGTAAGGACGTTTTTTAACTGAATATGTAGATTTATGTGCATGTATCTATAATGGAAGCATTAATAATAAAAAAGAAGCCAACTCTCAATAATATCAACTATGAACACAACCATGACATGCTGACTATGTTAAATTAATATTAAAAAAATATCTCCAGGCCATATATAGCATGAAACAGACTGTTTCTGCTGGGTCTTGACCAACAATATCAACTTTTATATTTACATACACTCTGTCCCTGATATTAAGCACTTTAACCTATAAATATAGCATACCATAAAACTATATTTTTATTTTATATATAAAGGTAAATATTATTAAAGACAATGCACATTTTGTGTTGATTAATTTAACTGATCAACTTTGATCAAATTACAAATAATCATTCTCAGACAAGGAGGAAATTTGTTTCATACTTGTCTGAGAAAGATCATTCATAATTTGGAAAAGTCGATCAGTAAAATTAATTTATTGTGGTTACTATAGCTTCTCAGCCTTTTGACTAAGATCAATGTGTAGTATCTGTTCTTATCAGATTGACCTGATTCTCTATCTCCACTTCTATCTTTCTTTCACTTTCTCACTAAAACCAATTAGCTTCTTTTCCTCTATTTTCACATGATCAAATTTGTTAGCTCTATGTTTGTCAGTTTCCAGAGTAGGGTCAGCTCAGTGTCCAGAGTCAGAAATTCACTTTCTCACTAAAACCAATTAGCTTCTTTTCCTCTATTTTCACATGATCAAATTTGTTAGCTCTATGTTTGTCAGTTTCCAGAGTAGGGTCAGCTCAGTGTCCAGAGTCAGAAATTCACTTTCTCACTAAAACCAATTAGCTTCTTTTCCTCTATTTTCACATGATCAAATTTGTTAGCTCTATGTTTGTCAGTTTCCAGAGTAGGGTCAGCTCAGTGTCCAGAGTCAGAAATTCAATTGGACTTAGCCATAATGACAAAAGAAATTTTAGAAAATATTATATATCTGACTGAAAATATTGTTTATACAGACATTTTATAGAGGAAAGAACTTCTATTATAACTTACTTTCTTTGTTGGGCATGTATTTGGCTATTATGTATTAAGCTTAGTATATGACAAGGTCAAGTAAGAAAATTGAGTAAGGAAGATTACCAAAGGCAGGGGACTTGCTGCCTTAAAAAAATCCACATTTAAAATTCTGGTTTTTACCAAAGTTCACACACTGTTGTCCAGCATCAGTAAGAAATATCCAACTGCCTTAGAACACATATTATTTTTGCCTATGAAAAATGATTAAAACTAATTTAAAGCTATAGAATTTATTACAGCAAAACAACTGTATGGGCAACTGCAAGCATACACCTGGGTCCTTGCTCTTGTTCTTTTACCAACTACTAGGCAAATCACTCCACACTGTCTTGATTCTCATTCATGTTGATGTATACAAAAACTAGGAAAGTTTTATTGTATGTTCATAAGAAAACGGAAGTTGAAATTAATGCAATGGCAAGAAATGATAATGCCAATCCTGTTTCCAATATATTTGGTTATTTATTTAGGGATTCACTTGGCATAGTTTAGTGGGGGTCACTAGATAACACTTGGAGCAAAAATACTTCATTCTTAACAGACTAGATCTTGCCTTTGGCCAGCAAGAAATCTGGTTCTCTCCTGCCACCACTCTGCTCATCTCTACATTATGATGTATGTATGACTCACAACTTATCTTAATTGTAACTGTGACTCAACTAATATAAGCCTGTTACTAGAATTTAACTTCCAGCCGAGTGGCACTTGACTCTCAAGTTTTTTTTATTTATTTACTTATTTTCTCTATTTCCTTTCAGCAAACAGGTGGCTACCTTGAATGTTTTCTTTGTAGATTTTATTGTCCGTGTAGTTATAAATCTGCTGAACTTTGGGCCCAGATAAAAATCCTTCACAGGTCACTTTACTTGCAGGTATTCTAAGACAATCATGTGGGGAACACATTATGTCACACAACAATAGATTATGAAGGAAAAAGTGTCAGAATTAAAACTATTTTAAAGCTATTGAATTTATTGCAACAAAATGAATGTTTTAATAATTATAGATTACATGATATATTATACTGCAGTTCACAAGATGAAAGACAATAGTAAATCCTCAATCCCTCTTCTCTTCAATCAGTATTGTCATTTATTGCTGATAAAGCAGAATGCTTTGCCTGTAAATTTTCTTGTGACTCCATCCTTGACTCATTAAGTGTATCATTACCTGATTTTCTTTTGAACAGGAACAGAGGTTTATCCCTTTCTTCCTAGATAGGATTGGGTTTCTGGTTCCTTAAGTCTTTTCACTCTTTCACTCCCAATAACCCTTTGCGTTTTAGTGGTATTATCACATTGCTTGGGGTGAATTGATTAAAATAAAACAATAACGGAAACTCTGCTCTGTGATATGTGCATAATTCCATCCATAGCTTCTGCTATCTTCGGTTAATTAGTAGGATTTGTATCAGTAAATTGTTATTAACTCCCCAAAATTATTACAATCTGAAAATATTTTCTGGCTTTAAATAACCTTCAAAAGGTTGATAAGCCATAAAAAACAAATCTTATGTACACACAGTGCTGCACAAAAGTAAGTGAACCCCACAGATAATATTTTTAAAAAATTCTTTTTTTTTTTTTTTTTTTCCCAGATAATCAACAAATCTTAAAGTATATATTCATTAAGAAAAACCTTTATTAAACAAATTACAACCACTTCCAAAAATTTTTTATCAAGCTGGAATAAGAACTGCAAAAATAAGTAAACTCTTACAATTAATATTTGGTAACTCCTCAATTTGAGGTCACAGTGTTGCCCAGTCTTTTTCTATTTTTAAGAAGTTTCTGGCAGTAGTGAGAATCAATTTTTGACCATTCTTCTTGGCAAAACTCCCACAATTGTTTGATATTACTTGGGTTTCTTGCCTGTAATGCCATCTTTAACTTGAACCACATTTTTGGCTGGGCCTACGGGCTCAGACATACCCACATTAAAAAGGCCTTGTGCCACATTCAATTCCTGTGGGTGAATTGATAAATACCATCTTTAACTTGAACCACAGATTTACAATTGTGTTTAGATCAAATCTTTGACTAGGCTATTCCAAGACTTGGAATTTCTTTTTTCAAACTCATTCTTTTGTGTATTTGCTTTCATGCTTCAGATCATTGTCCTGTTGGAAAATCCAACCCTGACCTAAACCCAGCTTTCAAACTGAGGGCAAGACACATACATTCAAAATTGCTTGGTGTCTTGCAGGGTCCATTGTGCCATCAATGCGTACTATTTTGCCTGTTCCAGTTGCAGTAAAACACCCCCAAATCATAATGCTGTTGCCGCCATGATTAATTGTTGGCACCAAATTCTTCTCTTCAAAAGCTGTATTAAGAGCTTGCCAAACATACTACCAATTGTTTTTTTTAAAAAATCACTAGTTTGGTCTCATCAGACCATAAAACGTTTTGCCACAATGTTTCTAGCTTATCAATATGAAATTTGGCATAGTTGACCAAGCTTGTCGCTTTTTTCTAGGCATTCTGCCATGAAGACTGGCATCATTCAGATTTTGTTGCACTGTAGATATATGCACATTGATTCTGACATTGGCTAGGTAGCCTTGGAGAAACACAGAAGTCACAGCAGGATTTGTCTTGGATTGCCCAACTAGATGTGTACTTGCTCTTGTAGTTATTTTTTGCAGACAGCCACTTCTTGATTGTGATGCCATCCTACCAAAGACCTTTCATCTATAAATAATTTGTTGCACAGTGGAGATGTGGACTCTAAATCGTTTTGATAGCTTTTTGTTGCCTTCTCCATCATTATAGCCTTCAACTATGCACACTTTTGCATTGGTTGAGTGCAGTATATACAGTTTACCAAAAAAATGGAACATGTGTCACTTTGATTTTTACATATGCACAAAAAATTATTTGAATTAGCAAACATGTAAAACAAAATACAGAATATAAATGTAAACTTTCACTTACTTTCCATGTCTTAAGTTTTAATTAATATTTTTATTCCACCTTGATAAAAATTTAATAGTTTAATTAAGATTTGTTGATTATCTGGAAAAAAAAGATAATTTTTTATATTATCTTATGGGTTCACTTACTTTTGTACAGCACTGTATAGGGAAAGGTAAACCTTTTTGATGCCCCTGGAAATACTACAATATCAAATATATAATCACAATTTTTATTTATTTCAGAAACCATACTACATGAGAAAGGAATTGTCTTTTGAAACTGTGGAAGAACTTATCTATTATTACTACCACAACAACATTGTCCCAGATGAAATTTTTAAATTGACACAACCTTATCTTTTTGCCCAAGGTTGATTGCTTGATAATAAAATTCTCCACTATTCAACAAATCCATCAAACTAAAACTATTATTAAAAAATATATTTTCACATGCTTGCTACTGTTTGTTTCACTCTCTTCTCCTTCTTACCATACATAAATACATACATATTTTATTTATACATATATATCAACACCACTTTTCCTCCACTATCTCAGATAATCAAAAGTCGCTGGGAAATACTACATCTCAAACCAGACCTAAAAACTTTGTTTGAAGAACCTGGCCTTTTAGCATATTATAGACTTAATTTCCTTAATTATAGGTAGTAACCAAATTTCAGATGATATGGTAACCTGTAATAGACCAAGAAAAAAACAACAGGATTTTCCCAACCATGTAACAACAAAAGGAGCCTATGTTGTAACCACATTAAACATACCAATTCATTCACTAACTCGGTCACAACTCTAACTGTAGAAGTCATAATGTAATTTTCTTATTAGAATGCACACTATGCCAGAAACAATATGTAAGAAAATCTGAATGGCACTTTTAGTACAGATTTAATCAGTATCAGATCAAGTCAGCTCCTCATGAATAATTATTACCTGTAGAACATTTCCACCTAGAAAAACATGATTTTAAAAGCCATGCAAAATTCACTATAATTGAAAAAATAGAAATAGTCAGAAAAGATAACCTTAGAAAAATACTAGAGGAACATGAAGACAAATGGATTTTGGACCTCAAAACACTTTATCCAGACAGACTTAACCACAAATTAAACAACACAGATAGAATTAATATGTAATCCCATAAATCAAGCCCCACCACATATCTCACTCACACTAGACACATACTTTCAGAGGTGTTGAGGGCTCACACATATACACACACTCACACAAATATATACACATACACACACAAATCCAAAAAACTAAAAGATAACATACACTTAACACACACATCCCCTTTCCAGCAACCAATAAAACTGTCAAAATGACTAAGGAGGGAATTCTGAGACTCAGAAATCTCCTAGCCTCTATTAAAAAAAAAAAAAAAAAACTTGAAAGAGGCTGTTTGACCAAAATTAATGATAAAAAATGAATGAAAACTACAGAAAAAGTTCACTTTCTTCAGAGACAGTCATCCATTCCTGTAGTTCACTGCTACTAACAGGCAGGGATTTTTTTCTCCAGATGAAGGCCATGCTGGCCACTATTTAATTTGTGATTTTATTTTACACACATTATATCTGCACCCAATGTCTAAACATCTTTGTTCAGCTTCAGGTGGCTGAGTTGTCCTTCTAGACTGGTTGCAAACCACAGCTAGAAAGCCCAGTCTGCCCTGCTATTTAACTCATGGCTGAGAGAAGAAAGATGGATTCATACCTAGCCTTCATTATTACAGAGACCTTTATTGGTTTCTTTGTTTTTAAACACTGAGTAATAGATTGAACCCCAGGTATTCAGTGCCTCAATCATCATCATCATCATCATCATCGTCATTGTCATCACTACCATCATCAGCCCCATGGAGGGGGAGGTAATTCTCTTATCAGAATATATGCTAGAAGAGGTTTTATTTGGTTATAATTACAATGTTACAAGATTGAGAAGTTCTCTTATCAATGTCAGTCAGTATATGTAATGTTGTTTCTATTCTTTAATGTACAGAATATCATTTGACTAATCCTTCTCTGTCATAGTTTCATGTCAACAATTGTCAAGAGACAAAAAAATAATGCTCAATAGATAATGGCTAAGTCATCTACATTGTAGATGACTTAGCCATTATCTATTGAAATCTCCTAGCCTCTATTAAAAAAAAAAAAAAAAAACTTGAAAGAGGCTGTTTAACCTATACAAAGATTGACCAAAATTAATGATAAAAAATGAATGAAAACTACAGAAAAAGTTCACTTTCTTCAGAGACAGTCATCCATTCCTGTAGTTCACTGCTACTAACAGGCAGGGATTTTTTTCTCCAGATGAAGGCCATGCTGGCCACTATTTAATTTGTGATTTTATTTTACACACATTATATCTGCACCCAATGTCTAAACATCTTTGTTCAGCTTCAGGTGGCTGAGTTGTCCTTCTAGACTGGTTGCAAACCACAGCTAGAAAGCCCAGTCTGCCCTGCTATTTAACTCATGGCTGAGAGAAGAAAGATGTGCCACTACTAATTTGGCCCATGGTTGTCATGTTGATAGAGCAAGTTTTGAATTACCAATTTAAAGAATGTACCTTTCTCATTGGGACTTATATGAATCTATATCTACTAGCTTCAGTTTTGTACCCAAAATATAAACAACAGTAATTTTTTAATAGATTTTTATTATGTCTTGTTACTATAAACATTATTTTTATTGGGTAGGTGTATATTTGAGTTGCTAATCCATTTTTTATCATTGTTAATGATAAACCATCAAAATGATTTCAGTGTCACACTGCTAAAATTAAATCAGTCTTAATTTCATGAGAAATAGTTTTTATTAAAGCTGTTTAGTTGCTGTGGCAGTGTGGAGTTGCCTAATGGTTAATAGGATGGAAAAAGGAATCGGGGAAGTGAATTCAAGTTCCAGCTGATATAATTTGTGCTTACTTCAAACAATTGTCCTTGGAAAAGACATGAAGCCATCTTGTCTCTTCCATTTCTACCAAGCTCTGGTTTAAGTAGCAGAGGAGACTGTCTTCTCTAGTTTTGATTAGTCTAGAAAGATGACAACTCTAAATTCAAAACAAAAAATGAAATCCACTTCCTCCTCTAGATATGGGTAAAAATAGCTTAATCTAAAGGATGGGGGCATGCAATACCAGTCTGTAAAAATCTATTAGTTATAATCTATGTACAAGTTGAGAAACGAATCAGATCAAGTATTTTGGAAGTGTTAAACATCAACTGCAAGAAGACAGAATGCAAAAGGATGAGCCTAAAATGCAAATTACAAATTGGAGATACCAAAATCAAACAAGTACAAAAATTTAAATATCTGAGAAGTGCTTTAACAGAGGACAACAGTGCAACACTTAAATCCAAAGACACATTGTGATAGCCAAAGATGCATTCCAAAAATTAAGCAGAGTATTTAGAGACAGAAAAACTTTGTTAGAATTAAAGAACAGAGTACTGTACTGTTATGTGATATCTATCTTCCTATATAGCAGTAAATGCTGGACAATCACCTGAAAGATGAAGAAGAAAATTGAAGCAATAGAAATGTGGTTCTACGGAAGGATGCTGAGGATACTATGAACCAAATATATGAGCTACAACAAAGTTTTAGAGAGAATGGAAACAAAAAGGAAATTTATACTTAACATCAGGAAGAGATTACAGAAATTTCTAGGGCACATAATTAAGAAAGAAGGCTTGGAAAATCTGACACTCACAGGACATTGATGGCAATAGGGACAAAGAAAAACATCTAACATAGTGAGCTTGAGTAAATGAATGGTGAAATATGGTTTAGGAGAAATAACAAAAAGACAATTTATTAAGAGCTATGAAGGAGAGGAAATTGTGGAGAGCCATAATCACCTATGTCCTCATGGGAAACGATACATAAAGAAGACTTCTATTGGAAATTAATTTTTATTGAACAGTTTTAGTAAATATTTTCAGTCAGAAAAATTGTATTTGGTGGTGAATTGACATTAATATGGAGCCAAGATATATCTTAAAATATTTGTTTTGCCCTGCAAAAAGCATAAAAAAAATCTTGGCCAAAATAAATTATTCATTTCTATATTAATGCACATAAAACTAGCAGGCATTGATATTTTCAATCATGTGCACCAAATAATGGCTGACTGCTCTTATCTGAATATGGCTGTCTACTAGACAATCCCTGTTGCAGATACCTGCTCAGGCACCTTTGTGTTTGTTTCAGAGCCCACCTGTAGTTTATACTGCAAGTATGCTGAGCAGAGGCTTAAGGCCACATCATGTTGAAACATTGGTTCCCATACAGTTGCTGAAATTAAGTAACACTGAGCCTGGTTATTACCTAAATGGGTGACCACTGTTGGATGTGTGGGGGGTATAACAGATAATGGCCCAGAATTAGAAATCACAGAGCTGAGTTCCAATTCCCATTGGGAAAGGTATGAATCTACCTTTCCTCCCTCTATCTATGGGTTAATTAGTAAGATTTGTATCACTAAATCATTATTATCTAAAAGAATTCTTACAATGTAAAAAAATTTTCTGACTTTAAATAACCTACAAAGAGTTGATAAGCTGTAAAAAAAAAATGAATCAATCAAACAATTCAATAGTCTGAACAAGGCCAGTACACTAAAACCCTCAGTCACAATGACTTGTGACTTCATGCTATTAGAAACATTGATGAATCTCCAAAAAATTCTGTCTACCCAATTTCACTTGGGTCAACCTGTGGTATGGTTTACAGTATCTTTCCAAAGATGCTGCATACTGAAATTGCCTCCTCAGGCTGTTGACATCAAGAAATCACCTACCTGACAAATCAGCCATGATGAGATTCAAACCTGGGTCTGATGGTCAGAAAGCAAACATTCTAACCACTCATCCACCTGTCCATACATACCAAATATTCAGTAACAATATATGTATATTCTACAATATCACCCTACATTAGAAAAGAAAAGCTGATTGCATAAGTAATGTATATGTCCTTGTGCCATCTAATGTACATACAAGCACACCAACAATTTGACTAAATCTGAAATAATACATTCTCCACCCTCACTCAATCTTATAAGATTTTATTGAACACTTTAGAAATCATTTGATAAAAGTTTTTCTTTCTTTTTTTTTTTTTGTAAACATATTTTCAGGTCTGTCATTGAAATTAAATATACCTGCACACAAGAAAACGTACATACACACATAATTTGAATGAAATAGATATCTCTATCACAAGGGATCATTTCCCTTTCTGTCTGAGAACAACACCTAGGTGACGGGAAAATTGTATAAGTCAAAATGTTTCCATTTCTGTCTGGCAACAATTTCTGGGTAACAGGGAAATAGTATAAACCCAAAATATGTCATTTTTATTTCTTCTGTATTTAAGCTGAATATAATTTCTAATAAATGTAGTATTTGAAATAGTTTAGATTTGAAATTTGATCATCTTGTCAGTGAAGCAACAGGTACTGAACTTGTTATAAAAAAAAAAAAATTAAAAAGGTTTCAAATTCTTAAATGCTTTGTCATAAAATTAAAAGTGAAATAAAATCTTCTGTTTGGCCATTGGAACTTTTCAAATGTATTTAATAACTGATATGTTTCTATGTTACTTTGTGTATTACATCATCATAATGTACAAACACTACAATACCAAATTTATAAGTTGAACAATATTTTGTATTCTGATCTTGATACTGGCCAGATGGCTGGTGAAAAATGTTTGAGCAATATTATTGAATTGAGATACATGTTCTCTAGTACAATAAACAAAAAAGTTAATTCAAAAATTTAAAAAAATCCTTGCCTTGTATTAATGAAAAATCTATTATTTAAATTACATACAGATGTAAAAAGTTTTTTGAATGTTCTATTTTATTTACGATTGTATCACAACTTACATTGTGTTGTTGTTAATTCATACACACACTGTGTGTGTGAATTTGTTTATATTTTTCTATTATAAATGCATTTTCAATAATTGTGACAATGAAATATTGAAAGACATTTTGCACTATGCCAATAAAGAGAATATTCTCCAAAACTATTTTTGAAGTTGTCTATCAGAACTATTGAAAGAAAATGCTACAAAATTTTTTTTTTTACTAATGTTTACTTTATACGAGGCCCAAGAGCCACTCAAGGTAGAGGGTTACTGAATAAGTTTGTTGTACAAGTGGTAAGAGTAAGATATAAGAAGCGCAGTTTATGAGGGTATGTGAGAAAGATAATGGTTAACCCTAGACTTGAACAGGTTAGGTTTGTAGTAGTCAAGAAAGCATCCTCTTGGGAGTTGATTCCACAAACTAGCAGTTCATGTACAAGTGGAACTTCCTTCTTACTGATGGTATATGAAAGGAATGAGGATGGTTGAAGGTTAGAACTGGTGGAACTAAGAAATGTAGCTTGTAAGGACAGCAATAGAGTAGCATGAGATTTGCAATTGTTTTGTCTGTGGGGAAAGTGGTTGTAGGGTGGAAAATAATTCATCACCTATGGGGTTGCATAGATGCTTTTTAACTCTATCAGGACTGGAAAGTGAAGACTAAGCAGTTCCAGCCCAGATGTGGCAGTAGTCCGCCATTTTTGGTTTGATCTGACTCTTGGAAATGTAGAAGTAATTCAAAAAAAAAAATAGGTAAATGGAATATAATAATCTGTTCCACGCAATTATTAACTTACCTACTGCACCTACAAAAATCTAAATGACATCAGCCTAGCAACTGATCTCACCTCTGACCACACTAATAGCTCAATGGTGGAATAACTGGCTTGTAACATTCAATACCTCAAAACAAGCCAATAACATTTCATTATCACTGAGCCTGTGATGTGTTGTGCCAGTGGCTTCTTGGTAATTATTTTATCAGAACTTTGGAAATAAAATGAACTGACTGAAGGGTATATAATAAATAATACATTTTTTATTTATTTGAGTTAAAGTAACTCCTTTGATATTCAGTGTAACAAAGTGTTCATTTATAAGGTGGATACTGGTAGTAGACTGATGAAATGTCCATTTCAGTCCAATAGTGGGTAGTTTTGAAGTCAGATCTTGCTAGTAGTAGTCATCTTAGAAATAGGTCAGTGTCACTCTACTGTGTTTTTCTCATCCCTAAGAAGGGCAGAAAATACTTGGTTGGTTTCTGTGGTGGTGGCATCTCTTATTCTATAGTTTCTTTTGCCGTTCTTTCTCCTTGTCTAGTTTAGAGATTTGAGCTTATATTCTTTTGACAGCGATCCTGGCTTATTGGCTCAAAGCTCGGTTCAGCTAACATCACATGTTTCTTTGTGTTAACTTTTTTGATTGGCCAAAATTATTTTATTTTCTAGTATTCCTTTCTTTTTCATTTTCTTTTTTACATAACAGAAGTTATGCATGGACCCTCCCTGATTTTTGGTAGTTTTCAGTCACA